AAGAGTCAAAATCCCACGACCTCTTCTTCCATGGCCACCTCCTTATTTATTCCCTTCCCCTACAAACTTTCTAGTTCAAAACACAAGCCCTTTGGGAGTTGTTTCATCTGATTTCAGGAGAAAGTTGGGAGTATAAATAGCTCCCAAGGATCAGTTGAGCACTGATTGGATGCAGGGCTGACTGGCCCCCATCAACACACGGTTCAAGTGTAGGGACACCTCACTTTCTGCTTTATTGATTCGATTGGGACTAAAAAAAATGTTGTATTAAACACCAATGGAAGCATTTTTCAGAGGTTAACAATAATAGCATTTTACACATAGACTGTTTCTCATTCTTTTCTGTATAGTGCAGTTTAAGAATTCCCAAAGAAAATGCACCAATGATTATGTTTTTATGTTGCAAATTTCTTAAACACAAAGTATTCATTTTTTAAGAGCACTTGCAGTGTAAACAATTATGCTGACTCTACCATCTAACACTAGGATGAAGAGCAATCAAGCTGTTGGATGTTTTGAAAACAAAATTCGTTATACTATTTGAGATCCCATTTTATCAACTACTTGCACAAATTTATTTCAAAAAAGAAATGCAGGCAGACTGTAGTCTTATATGTTTTACATGTGACAATCTTATGTAAGCATTCAGATATTTTCACATTTCTTAGATAAATGCATAGGAAAATTGTTTATGATAATTCTGTAACAAAAGCCCAGGCTTACTATTCCATATTATACTACAGTTTTTGTTCCTAGCCTATGTAGCATGGTCAAATGAAACCTGAAGAGCTCCTTGTGGTGCTCAGAGGAAGGAAGACAGAGAGTCCAAGACAGGTGCCAGGGAAAGGGAAAACAAATAAGGAAGAAGAGAGAGATGGAAGAGAAATATGTGCCATTAGGCATATTGGTTTATTTCATTATTTGTTTAAATTTAGGTTTTATCAACTCATCTTTCAACTTTCTTCTCTCCAAACTGGAATTATTCTCTTAATGAGTCTACTACACTTATTTATGTCTTCGTTAGTAATTTCTTACCATCCTCTACTTGATATCTGAGCAAAAAGAGAGTTAATATTTAATAGAAATACTGAGGTCCTTGGCTAAAGGCATGTAAACAGTGCGTACAATTTTTAAAATTTTTATTTACTATGCTTTTAATTCAAAATGCTATAAAATGTTTAGTGTCTTTTGCACACCAAATATATGTTTTCCCATAATTTGCTTTACAAATTGTAAAGGAATTGTTCCAGAGTAAATTAACTTAAAGGTAATGAAGAAGTGATTGGCAACAGTGAATTATTCTCAGGATGCTGCTTCTTATCAGTCAAATAACGTGGGACTCTAAATACTAAAACTTCTTATACCATCCCCATCTTCACTCCACTCCCTAAAGGTAATCACTTATAATAGCTTAGTGTAAATGTTGCTAGACATTTTCTAGTCACCCAATAGATATACGATGATCCCCCAATCTGTGCCATGCACTGTTGTAGATGCTGGTGATATAACAATGCAAAAAAGAGACCAACTCTCTGCTCTCCAGGTCTTTACAGTCTAGTGGATGAAACATAAAATGAATAAACAAACCAATAAACATAGCATGACATCAAGTAGTGGTAAGTGCTAAGAAGAAGTCTATAGCAGGATAAAAAGACAGACTAGAGGTATTTGCTATTTGAGTAAGGAGGTCAGGGAAGCCTCTCTACCTGAATGTGGGGAGGAAATAATCCACACGTAAAAGATTCTAAGCAGAGGGAACAACAAGCGCAAAGACCTTGAAGCAGAAGCAAGCTTGGAAGGTTTGAGTATAGCAAGGAGGCCAGTGTTGCTGGAGCAAAATGATTAAGGGGGAACTAGTTAAGAGATGGAGTTGGAGACATAACTTGTGATGAGACATAGCTTGTTTATGAATTCGGCATTGACGTGATCTAACTTATATAAGAGGCATTCCGGTGCAGAGGGAAGAAGAGACAAGGGAAAGACCAGAGCTAGGAGACCAGTTAGGAGGCTACTTCGGTAGGCCAGGCGAGAGATGATGGTGGCTTGATGATCTCTCATTCGCTGCTGGTGGGAATTCAAAATGGTACAGCCACTCTGGGAAACAGTTTGGAAGTTTCTTACAAAACTGAACATACTCTTACCATCCAATTCAACCATTGTGCTTCTTGGTATTCACTCAAATGAGTTGAAAACCTCTGCACATGAATGTTTATAATAGCTTTATTCATAATTGCCAAAATTTGAAGCAGACAAGATGTCCTTCAATAGTAGAATGCATAAAGAAACTATAATACATCCATACACTAGAATATTATTCGGCAATAAAAAGAAATGAGTTATTAAGCCATGCAAAGTCAGTAGGGTATTCAGATCCGTAATGGCTAAGAAGGTATTTTAGTCTATTGCAAACGGAATTTTTATTATATTTTAAAACCAGAAGTAGAATTGATATGCTCTATTAAATTAATATTAATGGAAAGTTCAGCCTTTATCTTCTAATTTATAACCCACACTAGTAGTTACCACATAGTGTTCATGAATGAGGAAAAATTCTTTCTTAGCCTCTATAGATATATATACACATATATATATATCCTTAGCCTTTATTCTCTCCCACTCTCTCTCTCTAAATATCTATCTATCTATCTATCTATCTATCTATCTATCTATCTATCTATCTATCTATCTGTATGTATATGCCTTCACAGCAACATCTAGACTGATGTTTGACCAAACAACTGGGCACCATAACCTAGCCATTTTAACTTATAAAATTAACCATCACAGAGGTATTTGTTGCTTTTTCAAGATTTACTTTTTTAGTTATATAATAGCATAGTCCATGTTTTTCTCTTTACATGCTCTCTTCCTTTATTCCTATAACCACCAATTAATCCACATCACTCTTTCTCCCTGAGATTATGTGCTCTTTCCTTCTCAATAACTGACATCATGTTATCATAACTAACGATTGCCAGACTCTTGAGTACCACATCCATATGTGCATTCTCATTTCTGTATGCTGATTTGTCAGTGATTGGTGATCTTTCTTGGATGATTTATGAGTTTAGGACGTACAGCCTTAAGGTCATTAACCTCAAATTTGCAAAGGAGCAATTGGCAACCATTACTGTGTGCCTGTCATTCTACTTAAAGCAGCTGATAAAATAAGGCAGCAGTAGAATTCTTGGAGCATGGTGACATCACAGGATTACACCACAATGATTCCCATTCCATCTGTCCTGCTCTGTGGTTTTATTTGATTACTGTATAATACATAATAGAAATGCCATAATCAATAATAATAGAAATGGCATAAGCCCTGAAATTTTCAAACCATGTAATGTAGTGTCTTGCTGCAATTGGCAAAGGAATCTAATTTAAAATGGACAAAAGGAGAAAAAGAAATTTTTGCTTGGAATTACAATGTCAGTGTATTAAGTGTGAGTCAAAATCATCTAAACCTAAGATCCGAAAGAAAACTAAAAATGATATAAAGTAAGTACTAGTCAGTATTAACTTCCAACTCTGTAAATCTTTTTTATCTTCATATGTATACGGGTAGGTTTGTAGCCCCAGCACTTAAGTTGTGTATATTTTTTCGTAAGATATTTCATAAATGCATTCATGCTTGTTTAATACCATGAAAAACAAAATATTGGCAAATGACTCTCCTCTGAATGTTTATAGAAAATGGCAGCACATTGAGGAGATCATATATCTTTTGAGCCTCTTTTTGTAGTATTGGGTGCTTTGGGTGGGCTTCCTGCTTTTTTTGGGACCTTTCCTTGGTCCCTGCTCTTTTGAGATGCTGTATGACTTGTTCTGGAGGCTTTAGTACACGCTGTCATCTCTGGCTACCTTCCTTCCATTGGCTCATAATCTTCAGGCCTCACTCTGTGCAAAGAGATTTACCAAAGTGAAAGGAAGCCAAAGGTCAAAGCTAAAGTGTGCCAAAAATAGTTCTGAGTTATTAAATTGATGCACTGACAAGGAAATAACCAAGTCAGGCGACAGGCGGAGCTGGCCTGTGCTTTTCCTGGAGGGAAAGCTCAATTGCTCTGTAAAGTCATTTCTGTATTTTGTGGGGAGCCTTTTACACTATCTTGCCAGTTCAGGCCTTTAGGAAGTTCTGGATCATTGGAGCTGACCAGCCTTAATGGCAGCTATTATTCCTTGTCAGTCCGGTCAACGTTATCTATCTGGAGCTTACATGGGAGAGTGGCAGGGCAGTGGCTTCAGTCTCTGTTCACTTCCTGACTCACTCGGTTGATTTCCTTGGCCAGCAGCTCTAAACCCACCCACCCTCAAGACAGCATTTGCTCTTGCTGGAGATATTTCTCTTCTACTTACACTGCTCGGTCGCCTAAAATGAGTTTTCAAATTAATCCATTTGTTTTCATCTTTATTTTTTTCTCTTTTTTATCTGTGATATTGATACCAGAATGAGTATCTTTTAGAGTACTTAAGTTATTATTTTCCTAAAATTTAGAGATACCAGTTAAATAAAACACATGTCAATGACTTTTGTAAACTCCAAGGCCTTATTCAAATAGCATCTACTATCTGTACTAGGTATACACAAGATTATTAAATATAAGACAACTTTTACAGCTTCAGCCCCTCTTTTTTCTTTCCACTGCAGTTGCTTCCTTTAGTAGCAGACATCTGTTTATGAACTCTCTTCCCTATCTTAGTTTTATTCATTATTAGAATAGCATATTAATGATATTAACAATTCATATCTCCTGACTGGTATCATTGTACTTAAATATTTGAGAAGCTGCAGATGTTCAAGTTCATTAGTCCTTGCCTTCAGAAGATGATCAATTTGAGAAATTCAGAGCTTTCCAAATGTTAACCCCATCATTTTTCTTTCTTCAGATAGTTCATATTAAGGGATGATCAGAGAGAGATTTGCTATATTTTAAATTCTATTGCAGCTCTCGTTTTGTTGTTGTTAGTTTTTCCTAAAGTCTAATGGGTATACGTATTTGTAGAAGACTGCTGGACACCGAAGATGAGCTCAGTGACATTCAGACGGATTCAGTCCCGTCGGAAGTCCGGGATTGGTTGGCATCTACCTTTACACGGAAAATGGGGATGAAGAAAAAGAAATCTGAGGAAAAACCTAAATTTCGGAGCATTGTGCATGCTGTTCAAGCTGGAATTTTTGTGGAAAGGTAAATGAAATTGTTAGTATCTCAAGATGATAAAATTTGAAAGGCAGGAAATATACTTACTATATCAAAGTTATGCAAGTCCTATATTTTACTTATTAAGGAAAACTGTGATCATAAGTATACCCAGAATGAACAAATTTAGGACTTTAAGTTGAACTTACCTATAACAAAAGTGTCTTGTCCTGGATTTATGATTTTTATCTGTTTTACGTTGACATAAAGACTAAAGGCAAAGGCTTTGAATGACCATTCTCCTCAAGTGAACCTTTGTGAATAACTGTTTAAAAGCAATTATAACATGTTCATACGCTCGTTAGTAACACATTCATATGTTTGTTACACAACTAATTTTACCTGAATAAAATGCAACACCTCATAAAATAAATTCTACACTACATACCAAAATCAAGTAGGCCTTTCTCTGCGTTAAAGAGAAAAGACCATCCTCTTCCTACCATGGGAGGAAAGCTCTCTTCTGTCTGCTTTTGAAGAGCTTTTAACATTTCTGTCCCTGAAGCAAGGAATACTCTTTGAAAGGGTAATCCTCTCTGTCTTTCTTTACATTCCTTATGATAGAACGTACAATGACGTTCATTTCTCAACCTGCTCCCAGTCTAAGAAACTCAGTACCATCAGAGTTCCCAGTGAGTCCAGGGAACCCTGAAAAACAAGAATTGGAGCCAATGGTATTGGCTGCAGAGTAATGAAAATAGTAACATTAATAATAATAATGGGTTTCTTGTTCTGAGTATTTATTATATTATGCTAGACATTTATATCACGTACTCTTCACAAAAAGCTTATAATTATCTTCATTTTACAGATGAATGACGTTAAATAGCTTTCCAAAGGTCACACACAGCTAGTGAGTGGCTAACCTATTATTCAAAGCACGTGTTCATACTGCCTTTCTGGGCCATGAAGTCAAACTGGTTTAATATTACTTAATTTTTAAAATTTCTTCTTTATTGACTTTTATATTGACCTTTTTACCTTTGTCCGTTACCCTTCCATTTCCCCCATACCTCTATTTTTTTAGTAATAATAACTAAATAACTGAATAGAAAAGATTGTTTTTTCCAAAAAAATTAATATCATTATTGACATTATTTTCTGGGTCTTTTATAGTGTGGTTAGTAACTTCCTCGCCCTACAAGATTACAATAATTGTGTCTATCTCAATAGAATAATTAATATAAGTATTTTTATCTATAAACTGCTCTGAAATTCTTCCAATAGAGAAAAGAATAAGAATAATTTTTTATTACTGATTGTCCACATTCAAAAATTATTTAAAGTCATTTAAAATAAACATAAAATGAGAACATGGAAATAAAGTAACAATGTCTCTGTAATAAAACGAGGGGATACTTTATCAAGAAACCCTGAACTAGAGATATATGTAAACACAATATTTTAATTCTGAGCTTCCAAAAAGTCAAGATTAAAAAGGAAAACATAAAGAATGACTTGGCTTTTATTACTTAAAAAAAATGATGGCTTTTACATAGAAACTAAATAACGCGTATTATGAATTTTTAATATAGGGCACATTGAATCAAAAGGTTGACGTCTTCCATAATGGTTTTGTAAAAGACACAGAATAGTTTCCAAATGACTATTTCTTGTATTGACCCCCAGTATAAGTTAATGATATAGTCATTAAATTATGGTTTTATCCAGGCATGTTGAGGAGAGAAGTTACAATAATATAGCTAGGAATGCAGCTTGCTTGTGGACTAATGATATAAAAGCTAAGGAACATGATTAATAATCAGTTAATAATCATGTATCTTTCAATCCTGAGTAGAAGCCTATGGCTGTTCTACACATTTCTATACATTAGGGTGAATCATATTGATTCTCTTCTCCCACGAATACGTGGAGGAGTTTCTTATCTTTGGTTTGTGTCATCTTCATTGCCCATCAGAAGATGGAAAAATTCCAACAAATTACTGATTAATACAAATATTTTTGTGATTGATGCTATTATAAAACTGGAAATAACTTTGTTCTTTCTTAAGTAATATTAAATGACAAGTTGAAGAAACTTAAGAAATTTTTGTCAATATTGTTTCCTTCATAATCTTAACAAAAAAAATTGTCCAAATTCTAGTGATACTATTTATTTCCTCCTATAATTTCTATTCTGTAGAAAAAAAATCTATAAAAGAAATATTTTAATGACATTCAACTTCCAGGCTGAAAATATTGGCTCATAAATGGACACAAAAAGAGAATACTCTGCTGTCACGGATATGGTGGCATGCTAGAAAGTGTTGTTGTTGCGCATACAAAGGACAATCCTTTTTAATAAGATGAAGTTAAGGAAAAAATATCTTTATATAGAGACTAAAATCACATTGATTTCATAGGGTGGTTGTGAGTAAACAAAATACTGTTAACATCTGTCATATTGTAGATGCCTAATAAATGGTGACCATAGTTATCATTGTTGCCACAAAGGGAGCCTGTAACTAATGATAAAAGGTGAACAAGTCAAAGGTAATCTTCTCCCTTATATTTAAGAAATAGTTGAAAACTTTGGTCCTCAGATAAATGATTTGTATATCTATGCTTATTTTTCTTTTTTTAGGATGTACAGAAAGTCCTATCATGTGGTTGGTTTGGCATATCCAGAAGCTGTCATCGTAACATTAAAGGTGAAATAATTTCAATTATTTTAGTTTTTCAAATAGTCATTTTTTAAAATCTTAAAACGACTGGGATAAAATGAAAATACAACTTTGCTGCAGTTTGCATATTGATACGTAAAAAATATTTTAACCATTTACAAAATGTAGTGTGTTCCAAATCATGACTCACTGTAGACTCGAGGATTGATTTACACTAACAAACTATAACAACACATATGCATGTGTATGCACACACGTGTGACCTTTTCTTCTTCATGCTCTATTTAGGTGGATCTTGAATTCAGTTTTGAGATGGCACCAGTACTTGCCAGAATATACATATTTTGTTGTGTATATATTATGGAAGAGTTGAATGCATTATAGAAAGATGTTACAGTTGAATATGGTTAAAGGATAAAACTTATATGGAAGAAAGTTGTTTAGAATTTTAGGTCTAAAAAAATATACAAAGTAAGATAAAATTAAGAAAGAAAACGAAAAATTCATCTCTCTTGTCTCTGCTATTCCTGGGCTGCCCTAGTCTGAGGCCCAATTACAGTATTAGATGTATTAAAAATGGCTAGAGTCGAAACTGAAACAGTGAAAGTTTTTGGCTCACTTGCTTGTTTCTATTATGCACCCGCGCATGCGCCGGCACTATTGGCTAGACGTTGTATCCACAGGGGCGTTTTGTAGGCTCATTGTTCTACCTTCCTCCTTTCTTTCTACCACTTAATTTGGGTGGGGGGAATTCTCCTGTAGCATTGCTTTAGCTCTGATTTATTAAACTCTTTTCCTAGTGTAAATTTGTATTACTTTCTTTCATTTTTAATTTGTTCTTAAGCATCCCCTTTGCATTTGTTTATTTCTCTGCTGCATATTATATTTTAATCTTATTAATTTAAAAAGGTAGTTTGTTTTTCTTGCATGCTTTTTTATATTTGTGTTTCTAATGCCATCATGAAGACAAATATATAACTGGAAGTGTGACATTATAGGATATTGATCCCTCCTTAACTCGAGAGATTTTGATTTCCTCATTTTTTCCTCAATTATGGGCAAGAAAATCACTTATTCTTTTTTATTCATTCTAAGATCCTGTACTTAGAACCAACTAACAAAATATTTTGGTATGAGAGAGTGTAAAAGTTTTTCTAAAATGTACTATAGAAAACACATATGAGCTAACAGGTAGAGGGAAGAACTATCACTAAGTAAGGAATATTTTTAGTTGAATAATTCTTATTTCCTGCAATACCTCCGTTTCTTGTTTGTTTTCAATCTGACCATGTAAAAGTCAAGTATCTGCAGTAGTATTACAAATGTAAATCATCACTGTTGATAAAAATCCCCAAGAAATGGAGAGCTAACCTTTTACTCAGTGGGAAACTCCTAGTGGGAAGTATAAATAGGAGCCTTGTAACAACCTGAACTAATTCTTCTGTGTTACCTTTGGAATTTGATAAAAGATTTGTTGGCCTCCTTTGAGACTTACTGATGGTAAAATGCCTTCTAACAGAACTTTTAGAGATTTAAAATTTACAAACAGATAAAGCAAATGTTTGGGGATCAAATCGGGGCCAAATGCAAGGAATTTAACAAAGATACATGAACAAACCAAAAAATATTTCATTGGTGTTTCCAAGTGATTAAAAATACCATTTCAAGCTGTTATTATTATTTTTCAAAAGAAGTATTTCAAAAGAGACTGAATCCTTTTTATCAGATTTTCAGTTTAGTTTCAGCATGTTAAAGCACAGATGGTTGGCCTCCATAAAAATGTATTATATGAATGAAGTTCTAAACAGTGCCTGCTCAAATTCATGAAGAATGCATAGTTTTAAGGTTGCCCACTTACTGTTCAATACTGAACCTACTGTGTGAATGTAAACACTAGACCTTCTTTGCTAATAGCTTCCAATAGTCATTAGAACTGACTCTGCTGCTAGATTTTTTAAATTTCAGTGATTTATTTAGTGTTGGAGCTCAAACTTTACATTACAGCCTCCTTAGTGTATAGGACTGACATACTTGCTGCAAGTCTGTTTAGTGGAGTCCTCTGCAAGTTCTCATCCTGGAATTACCTTAAGCCAAATCACGATGTAGCTGGACTGGCACACCTGCTCTCTGCCCTCTCTCACTGTCAGGGGATACTTTCCAAGGGTAACTGTTCCCAAAGGCTTGACCACTTGCCTAGGAAATTGCCTGAAATGCCAAAATTCTCTCCTCCTCTTCAATCAAAAGACCCACTTCCTTTCCTTACCATCTGTCCCTGGAGGAAAGTATAAATGATTCAGCTAAGGTTAGTGTGACTAATAGGTAGTATATATTCTGTCTCTCTAGGGCTAAAAGAAGACATAAAATACCAAACCTTTAAACCAAATTACTAACTCTTATGGTGGAATTTCAAGCAATGTAGGAGGTGGGTGGGTGGGAAAGAGAAGTTGGGGCTACCTTCCCTCTATGCCTCAGTTGACATCATCCACCTTAAAATGAGACCCACTCTGGGAAAATGATTTATGGCATGAATTTGAAGAGAGATTAATTAAAGATAAGGGCAGTATTACAGTGTTACCGGTTTATTATATGAATGTTGATAACCTTGGGATTAAGGGGAAGGTCTTTACATTACTTTATACATTATGGCCTCACTTTCCTGGACCCATGGATACTAAGTGGCCCTGTCATATCAGACACTGGTAAAAATATAGTTTCAGTGCTGAATTGAAATCTGACCTGCTGGATGTATTATGCTTAATCTCTCCAAGAATTTTTCATAGAAGGAAATAGAACTATATGATATTGCTACTGAAGTATTTGCTCTTTTCTTTACAGGATGTTGATAAATGGTCTTTTGATGTATTTGCCTTAAATGAAGCAAGTGGAGAACATAGTCTGAAGTTTATAATTTATGAACTGTTTACCAGATACGATCTTATCAACCGTTTCAAGGTCAGAAAAGTGGAACAGCAGTGAGATGCTCTTAGAATTAGTTATCTGAATAAGAATGCAAATGCACAACGAGTCATTAATCAATGCATTTTATAGTGTTTCTAGTTGGTGGGTCACAGAAAGAGGAGGATGAGTTCACCATGTGATATGGCCATTCTCCACAGCTCACTGACATAGCTATATATCCACTTGGATATCATGAGGCCATTATAGCCTCATTCCAACAAGATACAAACATCCCCCTAAATTACTTACGGAACAATCATGCAGAGATTGAAAGCTACGTTTAAAGAAATATGATCTTCTGTGTTCCTAGAACACAGAATGAACATTTATTGGCAGCTTTTCTCAAACAGAAATGAAAGGGCTTCTAATTAACTTCATTTAGAGCCATCTAAGCAACAGATTTGATCCAGATTCCTGAGCACTCTGCAGCCTGTACCTTTTATCATTCCTGTGGAATCACAGTATTTTTAGAGCTCTAAAGTACTGGGAGGTCATTTATTTTAACCCCTTGTATTACAGATAGAAAAACTAGACTTTGTCAGTTATAGTTGGGAAATTTTACCCTTTTAAGAATTTTAGGCTTCTGACTTGACTCAGGAAGATATAAACATTTAAAGATGACAGTATGGGTAAGACTGTTATTTCATCTAGCTTAGTTAGACACTTGGGGATGACAATCTTTCTCTTGAATGGTAACAGGTTAATGAGGTAGTTTTTCAGAACTGTCCACATTTAACTTCAAGGAACTACTGCCCACAGCTGACTCACTGTTATGTCCCATCCCCAACATGGTTTGCTCATGTTGATTTAGTGATACTCCCTTGGTGACAATATTATTGTAATTATTACTTTCCACAGATTCCTGTCTCTTGCCTAATTGCCTTTGCCGAAGCTTTAGAAGTTGGTTACAGCAAGTACAAAAACCCTTATCACAACTTGATTCACGCAGCTGACGTCACTCAAACTGTGCATTATATAATGCTTCATACAGGTATCATGGTAAGAAAGTATTTCAAACTGAAGTTTGTTAGTTTGGAACATCAAATTCCATTCTCCTAAGTTTCCATTGTTTCTTTAACGCCATAGAAATATTATAAGTAGCAATAATACTTAGATTTTTGAGAGTTGAGTTATTCATAATATACATTTTTCAAAAAGAATTTATTCTCAGTGAAAAAAAAAATGCCCTCTCAGGCAAATGGAATATACTGCAAATTTTCCAAAATTTGGACTATAGAATCTTTCTGTTTGTAAATTCCTTTTCCCATAGGAATTAACCAAAAAAAAAAAAAAAAGAAGTGACCTTGAGAAAAAAATCTTTGGAATAAAAGTTATAGTGTTCCTCCCTCATATTATCATGTTCTTTCAAGCTGACCTCAGTAGTTTTTCTCTTCTATTGCTAATCACAATCAAATCCTAACAGGGACTTTGGAAATTATTCATGTGAATTTTTCCAAGTTCTCCTTCCTCTTCTTTGCATCTGAATGAATCAATGGATGAGTAAATAAATGATTCAGCAATGCAAATCCTGGGACAACAATGAGAATGGGACAGAAACTCTGAGACTGCCTGGAATTTCTGTCTCAGAGCTCACAATGGCTCCCAGAAGGTGAAAAGGGAGGAGTTGTACTTCTTTCTGAAGGCTCCAAACAGACGTGGGTTCAAAGGAGTTTAGGCCATGTGAGATCCCCAAATCTCAGTACCTTCTTGATTCCTCATGTGTCAACCTAGGCTGAAGCAGTGCCATAAAGTACATGTGAGTAGAATATTTCTCCAAACCCCATAATATGCATTGCCTACCTGTTTAGATTTCAGTAGCCACACCTTTCCTATTGGCAAGGGTCATTGGCACTCAGATCTATGTAGCTAGTACTCTTTGGGGCCCAGAGATCCTTAATATCTCATCTTTCTACACCAGAGATGGTATTCCTACCTGGTCCCAAGCAAAGCCTTTAGGGCCACAGTATGTTATCCTGAAGATCCTAAAAACTTTTAACGTTTATGTGATTCTCTAAGTTTATTGTATACAAAAAATTTTCATCATTATTTTATTTTTGCCCAAGAAGTATATTGCTTGCTACACATCACATCTATTTGCTGTGATTCATACAATAGTGCCTCGTATGATGACTGAAGAAATTGTCCATTCCTCTTCTCCATTTTTCTTTGCCTCTAAAATGTTGCAGATCCATCATGTCTTGGGCTCAAATCCCATCCCTGCCCCATGTTCCAATTATCTGTTGCTCCAAAACAGACTACTCCAAAATTTAGTGGCTTAAAACAATACTTTATCAATACTCTTTCAAGGGTCTGTGGTTAGAAAGGTCCCAACCAGAAGGTTCTCACCTGAGGTTTCTCATGTGATTTTGATCAGCCGGCACCCACAGGTGAAGACATCTGAGGACATCACTGGGCAAGACAACCACAATGGTTCACTCAGATGGCTGGCAATTGACAAAGGCTAATGGCTAGGAGCTCAACTGGGCTTTTAATAAAGGATTTTCTTGGAATCTCACCACCAATTCATTAGAAATATGCGTTCTATGACAAGATTACAAGGTAATATAATCTGCTTTATAGTTAAGGCCTATTTGAGAGGGAGACAGAAATCTCAAAAACCTTCATCTATGCTGTGTCATGACCCTCTTGTGACCTTCTAAAAGGCTGAAGTATATGTGTTGTTAACCTCATACCTCGTGTTTTCCTGTTTTAAGGTGTATATATGGGCATCACTGACTTAAGGTGTAAATGTGCCCATTGTGCCTGATCAAATGCAGTCATGGCTGGACTTGGCCTTTGGTTGAAGTTTACTCATCATTCATTCCAAGAGTCTGACTTGACATTTAAAGGGTGGAAGTAGAGGTTACCAATAATAAGTATAAATTCAAACATTCAAAGATAAAACTTTAAAATAATGTGAGCTTTTTAAAAGTGGCATATATAACCTTCTTTAAACCTATTTCTCTTTCCAGCTTGTGTGCACATACACACACACATGCACACACACACACACAGAAATTCTTTTCAATCTTTTTCATTTTAATAAGACTTTATTGTCACAGCTGTTTCTTGAACTCTTTGCTTTCACTTGTTTTGATACGCATAGCAGTTAGTGTGGAAAAGAGTGTCTCCTGACAGTTGCAAATGCTGTTACACTTAAACAGTTGCTTTAACATCTTCCTGGTTAGAGCTGCCTGCTTTTTCCTTTCTAAGCCCTTGGTCTTGAATCTGATAGTGAGGTGATTTTCACTTCAAGTGTTTGGCATTTCTTCTTTCCTGAATTCTCTAGCTTTGAAAAAGTTAATGAAAAAATTAAATATTTAAATGTTTCTCTGGAATGGAAACTGAACTAAGTTTTCTCAGAACACGATGGAGTGGAAAAGTAATACCTACTTCAGTATAATAAAATACCTGCTTTAATTATGAAGTACAATGAGAGAGATATACCATTTCAGTCTGGCAGGTCACCAGGATTTCAGTATTTTTTTTTTTTTTAAAGATTGGCACCTAGGCTAACAACTGTTGCCAATCTTCCTTTGTTTTTTTTTAAGGATTAGCACCTGGGCTAACAACTGTTGCCAATCTTTTTTTTTTTCTGCTTTATTTCCCAAACCGCCCCCCCTGTCCCCCCCACAGCAGTACATAGTTGTATATCTTAGTTGCAGGTCCTTCTAGTTGTGGGATATGGGATGCCGCCTCAACGTGGCCTGATGAGCGGTGCCATGTCCGCACCTAGGATCCGAACCCTGGGCCACCGCAGTGGAGCGTGCAAATTTAACCACTCGGCCACGGAGCTGGCCCCGGATTTCAGGATTTTAATATACTTTTTTGCTTAAGTACATTGGAGTTTTTTGACCACAAATGTAAAGGGAGTCAAATAAAAGTCTCCTATTTCAGTGTCAGAACCTCTGTTTTGAATGTGATGTTGAAGAATGAGGGATGCTATATTAGTAAATGGAGAAATTCAAATCCACAATGTGACTTGACCATCAGATTTGAAGGGAAGACTTGTTCCAGGATATAACAAGCCATTCCAACTTCTCTGGAAGACTGGGGAGACCCGGCCCAGCCTGGCATGACTCCTAGAAAGTTGAAGTTGTTAATAAAGATCACGTAGTCACTTTTTGAAAGGACCATGACTTACTAATTGTAAATATGACTTCACTCGACTTTAGCAGGTTTGGTTTGGAAAGTTGTTTCCAATTTTACTCATCCTTTAGCAAAAAAAGTGACAGTGTACTCTTTACTCACCCCTTAGTTGGGCCATTACAAAAACAGTCTAGTGGGAGACTGTCAGTGTTGTCCGGGATCAGGAAATACATTTAAAGGGAGTAATGAGAAATTTTGTGATAGATGGTGAAAGGAAAGGCAAAATGAATTTACAAATTAATTGACTATTTTGTCAAAATTAGGTTACACTGCCAACTTGACAGTTTTTGGAAAGCTCTTTTAACAAGCTTTTCTTTAGATGAAAAAAGTGGTGGTAGGTGACTATTAATTTTCATGTGTAAAATGTATTGTTTCTTTGAAACAAAAAAAGCATTTTAGAAACATTCGTTTAGCTGAAACCCCTCGGATTTGATATAGAGAGGGCTGGGTCCCTGAAGTTAGTGTTTTAGTTGATGCCCTGCTCTTTCAGGAAGGTCTTATCAGTATGACATTTATAGAATGCTCCAGGAGCAGCCTAACACTGTCGGGTGACTAATGCTGCCTGTCACCTGCAAAATGTTCAGAGGACCATTGCCTGAAAGGGTTTGCGATGATGCCATTGTCCTTCAGTTTATTAACGTCATGCGGGGCACCCTCAGCCCAGGGAACAGGCAGCGCAGAGGAGAGTTGATGCTAGTACACTCTCCATCTCCCTCTCCCTCCTTTTGTCACTTGATTAACTTGTAGTCCTGTGCCACAGTGACAGTGGTGTACAGTAGCTCAATCTATTTGCTAAAGAGCAAATGCTTCACTGAGTGCTGCCAAGCCACCTTCAAATGTCTTCTTGACTATGAAATGATCCTACGGCCTTGGCAAGGGTACACTTGCATTTGAGGGCTCCTGGCACTGTGTTCTCTCTAATACTAAGAGTAGAAGAAAGATGACTTGAAATCTATTTCCTTTGGAACTTGTAGTCTACTGACTATGCCCAGAAATAGCCTCACACACTCTAGAATGACTCAATTTTTCTCCATTCAATCTACAGAAAATTTGCCACTATGTCTTTATTCTACAAACTATGTGGACATTCCATTCTTGTAAATAACTTCCCATGCAACACTGTTTGGAAAAGTGGAAAGTGTGTGGGCTTTCAAGGCGCTCTGTTTCCCCAATTCCTAGCTCGGTGGACTCTCTACCTTGGTTCCCTTGTTAACTATGCTCTTTAGACACACCAGGAACTAACATGCCAATGTAATTTTCTGACCTAAAGTTCTCCCAGCCCTGTACATACACAGATATACTTGCTCTATCACACACACACACGCTGAATAATTCAGATAGGAAAATTACATTGTAAGTCTTAAATCAAAGCTCTATTAGCTTCTACTCCTCAGTATATCCAGTTAAATTATCTAGAAATTCTGCTTTTGAAACCCAAGAATAATGTGATGGGTGCATTGCCTACCTTGAGTAATGAATGCTATCGTCCTCCATAGAAGGAATATTGCGATCTGTGGAAGGAACAGAAAGTTTGAAATTGGACAGATTTTGATTTGAATTCTTGCTCTACCACTTGAGAGCTACATGACCTTTGGCAGGTTGATTCACTTCTTCAGGATTCAGCTTTGTTATCTGCTAAATAAAGATAAAAATATTTACCTAGAGAATGATAAATAGGGTGGTTATAAAAGTTAAGTGAGACCATCTAACTAAAATGTCTGGTTAATGTTCGTTCCTTCTCCTCCCTTTCCATCATCATTGTACATGCTGTTAAAGGCAGTCAGTACTCCCTATGATATAATTTGAGCACTGCCCATTTTAGAACAAACCTACGTGAGCATTTCTCTAGACAAAATGCAACCTGCAGTGTAGACAAAGCATAGTGTCTGCGTTGCTCATGAGTCATCATCTTAACCCGTTATTTCTGCCCATTAGGAGTCAGAAGAACCCAGGTTACGTACTGAGCACTGTTTTGGTTGAGAAGAGTGATATGGTTTAGTCTCATTCTCTCTGGCTTATCATCATGAATCATTTACAAAATCTATGAATTTAAGCATCCATTTTCTGAGTTAGAATTCTCATTGGACACCAGCATAAAATGAATCAGCAACTAAGGAGCTAAAAAATCAACCTAAAATTCTACTTTAACTAATATAAAATAGTCGCATTTTTCAATTAAGTGTTAAAGTTTAGTGCTTCTCTCTTCCTAAACTACTTTATAATGTAAACTTAATTATTAAGATTATAGTGTGGCAATAAATAAGAGGGATTCATGGAGGAATCCTATTTATGGGAGGCAGGGGTTAATGAGACTAAAAACAGGAAGCATATTAAAAATTTTGACAGCTATGAAGATAATAATTTTAAATACTTAGATCATCTATAATTAAAATCCATATCTAATTTCATAATTTAAATTTTTTTTACAATTTCAGCTTTGTATTCTATATTATTGTACTAGATATTGAACATTGCATTTTTAAAAATCACAGTTAAATCTATGAATCTTGAATATAAGCAACAGGAAGTGCTTAAGAAAATGGGCGATTTTTTTCTAGGAACAATTTTCTTTAACAAAGCAATGAGTTTCTGAGGGTACAAAAACTGGTTTAACTTCAATTGCTATTCATTTCATGGTGTTTAATTCAAGAGTCTCACTGGGGACATTGGAGGCTCCGTCCCACTTCAGCCTATAATACAGGCCTTTAATAAGGTCAGTTTCTTCCTTTTAGTGATTCACAATTAAATGCATCTATAAGCACGGGACAGCCAGTTATATCAACTCCCTTTGGTTCTGAAAATCATTTCTGCTTCTAATCCAACTGTGAGGCATTTATTCTTGAATTGCAATCACTAAAGATGTGTTAGCTCACTATTATTTTCCAGATTCAATGCCTTAATCAATGTATTTAAGGTAATCAGTTCAGTAAAATGCCATTTATTCGGTATTTACTATATAACCAGACTTGTGATAAGCACAGTGCATATATTAACTTTAAACTTCTTTTAAAAGCCACAGAGGAATGATCACTAATTCTATTTTCATGGGAACTGTGGCTGAGAGGGTAAATAACTTACTTGCTTGAGGATTAACAAAGATTTAAAACCAGGATTTGTCTGATTCCACAATCTCTTTCCACTACTTCTCAAACCTCTTCCTAATACAAAACTGGTGAAATTCAATTTAATAGACAAATCTTAAGTTCCTGCTATGTACCAAATACCATGATAGGTTATGTGAAAGGAGCAAAGATTAATAAGACCTTAAGACCTTGCTTTTGGAAACTGTGAGATTCAACAGTTGTAACCGTGCATTTAGCTACCAATCTTTGTCCATCCTTTTTCCAAGATCTCCTGCCACCAAATAGGCATCTTCTCCATCTACCCTTCTACTGCACCTTTATTCTGTGATCTTTTATCAAGTATGCATGTAGTTTATGTTATATTTTTCTGTTGCTTTGTGCAAGGTCTTTAATTGTTTCAAGTGTATGGAATAAAACCACTAAGAATAAGTTCCATATCATTTTGGATCCTCCATTCTTAGAATCAAGCCACCTACTTGTAGCTCTGGCCAATAGAACTGTCTGTGATGATGGAAATGCTTTTTATCTGCACTGTTCTATATGGTAACCACTTGCTACATGTGATTATTGAGTAGCTGAAAATGTGGCTACTGTGACTGGGAAAGTGAACTTAATTTTACTTGACTTTATGTATTTTTAATTTAAATACTCATATGTGGTTATTATATTGGACAGTGCAGTAAAAGTGTTATGCAAAAAGTGAGTGATGAAGAAACTATTGAATTACCTAATAAGAGTAGAGAAATTTTGTTAAACCATTCAATTGATAACAAAACAGATCAATGTATATTAAGCAGGAGGTCTAGATTTCATGTGAAAGCATTTATTCTTTCAATGTTATTAAGTTTAATTGCACATAGAATGTATGTGTTATGAATAGCAAATTCAGTAAATTCTTGGAAACTTCTAAATCTTTAAATATAAAAACTAAGTTCAGTTTCTCTAATGAGCAAAGTGAATATTTTCAACTCTGAGATGGAAAATTTTCTCATAGTAAAGTCTTTTACAAACATTGAGCTAAAAGACATTTAAATGATGTATGAACTGTATGTCAAAAATCACTAAATTGTGAGTGATTTCATGAGAACCCAAATTGGTAAGTCTGTGAATTTAAAATCCAGTCAGGGTTACTTTTAAAATCATCACAAATTACTCCTTTTCCAATTAACAAGGAGAATTATAATGTCTGGATATTGATCTTACAAGCCATGAAACAATCGTTGACCTCATTAAGCACCCATTAAACACAACTACTAATGGAAGTGAAATAGGAAGAAAAAAAAATTTAAAATCAGTAAAAACAATTTTGTATGATTACTTATATTGGGTGTACTGAAAATCTTTTTTGTAGAAAGACAACATGACCTCTGCTTTCTAAATATGATGGAATTTTTCTTTAATTTACTAGCACTGGCTCACTGAACTGGAAATTTTAGCAATGGTCTTTGCCGCTGCCATTCATGATTACGAGCATACAGGAACCACAAACAACTTTCATATTCAGACAAGGTAAGTTAGATAAAGCAATGAGTTTCTGAGGGTACAAAAACTGGTTTAACTTCAAGTTAAAACTTGAAATTTATTTTCCTGCATATGATTTGTTTTTAAGAGGATTTAAAAATATTAATGAAGATATCTAATAAGAATAGGTTTAATGGATTTTAGCAAAATTTCTTAAGCTGCAAACACTTATGTTAATCAACTATTGTTTATCAGGAATCTCATGTATTTGGTGGCATATTTAGCTATTTAAAGAACATAAAAATGTGCAAGATAATTTCTCTCTGCCTGAAACTTACACTCTGAACTCAGACATTTACCCACTGAGAAAAATTTTGCGAGATATTGTTTAAGGCATGAGTTTGGTGTCATTTTGTGTTTGAACATAATAAAACGCACTTCTGAAAAAATCTAAAAATCAAAGAAGTCTTATTTCCAGGTTAGCGTGAAGCATTAAATTTAAAATAATTGGAATATGAGATTTTTTAATAATGGTGATAATGGCAATTATTAGAATTAAAACATCAGAGTGGAGGTATATTGATTTGCTAGGGCTGTCTTCACAAAATACCAGACATTAAGTGGTTTAAATAACAGAACTTTTCTGACAGTTCTGGAGACTAGAAGTCCAAGATCAAAGTGCCAGCAGATTTGGTTTCTCCTGAGGCCTCTCTCCTTGGCTTGCAGACGGCCACCTTCTTGCTGTGTCCTCACATGGCCTTTTCTCTGTATGTGAGCATCCCTGGTGTCTCTTCCTCTTCTTATAAGGACACTGGTCACATTGGATTACAGTCCCACCATTATGACTTCATTAACCTTAATTACCTCTTTAAAGGCCTTATTTACAAATACAACCACATTCTAACGTAATGGGGGTTAGGACTTCAACATATGAATTTTGGGGGAACTCTATTCAGTTCCTAACAGGGAAGATACCCTAAGCTCTTTTTGGTTGCACAGAGATCTCAGTGCCGGGGAGGTAGAATTTGGTCTGACCCATCAGGATCCAACTGACTTTATATGCACAGATTCCTGAAATTTCTATATGTCTTTCACTAGTCAGAGATGCTTAAGATGGAGATGTAAGTTGAGAGACTGATGTCCCTTTGGAACTACTGTAGAAATCTGTGTTCTTGTGGAGGGAAAATTAAGCCTAGTTATTTTTTATTTGTTTTTTTAATTGATAGATTTTATTTCTTAGAGCAGATTTAAGTTTACAGAAAAATTACACAGAAAGTACAGAGTTCCCATATACTCCCTCCCCACCCCACAGTATCCCCTGTTGTTAATATCTTGCATCAGTGTGGTACATTTGTTACAGTTAATGAACCAATATTAATACAAAATTATTAACTAAAGTTCATAGCTTACATTAGGATTTACTCTTTGTGTTATACATTGTGTGAATTTTACAAATGTATAACGCCATGTATCCATTATTATAATATCATACACGATAGTTTCACTGCTCTAAAAGTCCCTGTCTGTTACCTTTACTTTCTTCGCTCCCTCCCTCTTTACCTGTGGTGACCAGGTAAATGTTAATGTCTCTGTAGTTTTACCTTTTCCAAAATGTCATATATTTGAAATAATACAATATGAAGCCTTTTCAGACTGGTTTCTTTCACTTAGTAATATACATTTAAGGTTCCTCTATGTCTTTTCATGGCTTGATAGCTCATTTTTGTTCATTGCTGAACAATATTCCATTTTATGAATGCACCACAGTTTGTTCACTTATTCTATTGAAGGATATCTTGGTTGCTTCCAAGTTTTGACCATTATAAATAAAGCTTCTATAAACATTCACATGCAAGTTTTTGTGTGATCGGCTCATTTGTTTTTAATAGAAATATTTCTAACAACTGATTTTCCAACTATGGGAAATGTGGGGAACATAGAAATATGTTACTAAAGTATTAGATGTTTTAGAGTTTCAAGAGACCATAAAATGACTGAAATTCACATTATGGATCATCTGGTCCAAGCTTCGTAGTCTAAGAATAGAAAATAAAGATCAGAAGAGGTGAAGTAACCTATCTATATGAATATAGTCTGCTCATGGCTGTGGCAGGATTGAGAACCCGAGAAGAGGCACACTCACTCTCAATTCAGTCTAGTTAACGCTGCTTCCATGGCCAGAGACAGATGCGTGCTAGTTCCAATCTTTTATACACTGAAATGGAATGGGCTTAGAAATGATGACCCCATCATGGAGACAGATGAAGAGTTGAAATTCAAACAATGAAATATTGGGGAAGGCATTCAGTCTATTCCCAGAGTCCCTCAGATTGACAGAGCATGAAGGGGAAAGGAAGACCTTGAAGTCTGGTTGTGTGGCAGGGATGTTATTAACCTACACATTGGCAGAGTATAGGGAGTTGTTTTGTTTTTATTTGCGCTAAACATCAAAGGAAAGGTAGACTGTGTTTATCGAAGGCTTTTCTATATCCAATGAATCCATAATGAATGAGATTTTAATTAGCAACACTTGATTACTGAGCTGGGCCCTGTATAGGATAACAGTTTTCAGAGTTGGAGAAGGGAGCAAGTGATTTGTTACCAATGAATACTTCCTGTTCTTGCTACTTTGACAAGTGAAGCCAATGGACTGGGCTTCTGCAGCAGCAGTGTCAGATCATCAATTCTAGCTTTCTCCTTTACCAGTCATTTACAACTGGAGGAAGAGTCTTAATTTACTTATACTTTGGACCACAGAGAAGGAGAATGAGATGGTGGAAAAGAAGGATGAGGGAGAAGAGAAGAAGTAGAAAAAGAAAAAGGAAGAGGAAGAGAAGGAGGAGGGGAAGGAAAAGGAGAGGGAGGAAGAGAAGAAGCAAAATTCATTTTTTTCCCAACTTTATTTTAAGAAACTGTATAAAAATGGGAAAAAAGGTCTAGTATTTTACTTATGTTCTCATAAATTGTCTACCAGTCTCAATTATTTAATGGATTAATTCTACAAGAACTTGAAAATTCTGTAAACAAAAAAAGTTGTAATGACCACAAATGCAACAACATAACATGCTTTTTCAGATTCTCACTATGGGCTTCACATTTTTCCAAGGAGAAATAAGGTCTTATGACACTGATATCAATAATTCTATTGTATTTTATATTATTCATTGTTACTTGGATTTAGAGTACTTTTCAAATATGAAAACCGATTTACTAGACAATGCAAAATGACTGAAAAATAATTTAGAACATAGTATGAGGCTAGATTTGAGTTCAATACAGACATTATACTTCATGTAATACTTGAAAGTGTAAATAAATGGAAATAATTTCTTCTTTGTGAAAAGAAAATGCCGAGCTACATGTTGCCATGGATACTGAATGTTGCTTAGAGTTTTGTTCTTTTCTTAGCAAAGACCATCTCATACATTAAGACCATGCCGTATTCTCAGTATCCTATTGAATTTATGAGACAACATCATGCATACTTTGCTACAATTAAATCTTGTTCAAAAACACATCTTTGTTTGTTGCTGAAAGGAAGAAGCAGTGATACTTGGAGCCATATCATGTAATAACTCTGGCAAAACTGCCATGTCTAGATTCGAGGTCATATGAAACAATTGATATGTAATTTGCACATCAGTTTTTCTGTGATCTCAGTGAACTTCTGGAGATACTTGGACAAGATCTATTTAATTCTCTCTTAAATAAGGATTTCATGTATGCTTTCCTAGTTCAGTTTTCTGTTTATTTACCTATGATGATTGGTTTAGGAATTTGTAGGCCATGGCTGAGATTATTAAAAGAAAATCTATTTTGGAGATATGTGCTATTAGCTAACTACATATGTTATTCCACTTTTATGATAGTGCTAAAGACAGAAGAGGAAGTAATTATTCTACCTATCAGGTCATTTTTCTTATGTTAGGTTAATAATCAAGCTCAGTTTATCTGGCCAAGTATTTGATACATATCTCAAATAGGTTGCTTGCAACAAAAGCCAGATTTCTTTAATTCCTCCTTTTATTTGTCCTGTCTATTCTTTAGTAAACATTCAGTGGTAAGGTCAGTGCTAGGTTATACTAGGTCTCTACCTACTGACAAGCCAGAAACAGTAAGTCTTAGTGAGGCAGTTTTAGTTCTGACAGAGTGTATCTACAAGGAGGAAGAAAAAGTGAGAGAAGCATGAGTGTTGGGGGAAATGGCAGCAAAGATGCTACAGGTTTCAACTTGGATTTCCTTTTGCTACATTTGTTATCTACCTCCAAACTCCCAATTTATATGGGTGAGTCCACCATTTTAATACATTGAACATAGTGGCTCTGCTTCCATTCCACACTTGCAAAATGATCTGGCAACCTAAGAGGGTAGGGGAAGAAGAGGCAAGGACTCCATTATGCACATCTGAGACTCTTTGGAATATTTCACACTTTATTCTAGATTACCAAATTCAACAACGCAACTTGAAGTAGTTTATTTGATGATCAAATGATATGAAATACAGATAGGTGAGAAATAAAAACCTTCCCTTGATGAATTCATGATTTTAAAATATAATGTCCATTATAAATTGATAATGGAACATACATTCCAAGTTTTGTTTAAAAAAAAGGTTTTCCCAATTTAATTTAATGATAGAAGACATATAATATTCAAATTGAATCACAATATTACAAAAAGAGAAAAAACTAGAATCATAAATTGACCAAATGATTTTCATTATCACCTCTGCCCTCTACCCAAAGTAATTTTAGTCCAAGGGGCCAGAGGTAGTAATCAACTATCTGGAATGGATACAGAAGGATTGATTCGTTCACAGATTGAATGAGAATGTTAGGTAATTTTTTTTCTCTCTTTGGCGTATCTAGATTATCTGATAGGTATCTGGATTGCAAATTGAAAGGAAAGGGCATAAACACATTTAAACTATAAGAATTAGAAGGAAACTAAGCACCACTACCAAGTGGGATGTATTCCCAGCCTCAACATTCAAAAATCAGTTAAGGTAATCCAACATGTCAACAAGCTAAAGAAGAAAAATCACATGATCATATCAAGATGCAGAAAAAGCATTTGACAAAATCCAACATGCATTCGTGATAAAAATTACTCAGTAAATTAGGAATAAAGGGGAACTGCCTCTACCTGGAAAAGGTTGAGGATCTTTCAACAATATCTGCAAAAACCTACAGCTAACATCATACTCAATAGGGAGAAACTTGAAGTTTCCTGCTAAGATCAGGCATAAGGAAAGGATGTCCCCTCTCACTACTGCTTTTCAACATCATACTAGAAGTCCTAACTAATGCAATAAGACAAGAAAAATAAACAAAAGGTATACAGATTGGGATGAAAGACATAAAACTGTCTTTGTTTGCAGATGACATGACAGCAAGTTTGCAGAATACAAGGTTAATATACAAGTGCCAGTCACTTTCCTATATACAAACAATGAACAAGTGGAATTTGAAATTAAAATCACAATACATGGGGCCAGCCTGGTGGCACAGCAGTTAAGTTCTCATGTTCCACTTTGACGGCCTGGAATTTCTTGGTTTAAATCCCGGGTACAGACCTATGCACCACTTGTCATGCCATGCTGTGACAGGGGTCCCACATAAAATAGAGGAAGATGGGAAAGGATGTTAGCTCAGGGACAGCCTTCCTTAGCAAAAAAAGGAGGATTGGCAGCAGATGTTAGCTTAGGGCTAATCTTCCTCAAAAAAACCCCAAACAAACAACAAGAACAACAACAAAAAATCACAATATCATTTACATTAGCATCAAAAATATTGAAATACTTAGGTATAAATCTAACAGAATATGTATAAGATGTATTTGAGGAAAACTACAAAACTCTGATAAATGAATTCAGAGAACAACTAAATAAATGGAGAGATATTCCATGTTCATGGATAAGAGGACTTGATATTGTCAAGATGTCAGTTCTTCTCAACTTGATCTGTAGATTCAATGCAGTCCCGATAAAACTCCCAGAAAGTTAATTTGTGGATACTGATAAACAGATTTAAAGTTTATATGGAGAAGCAAAAGACCCAGAACAGCCAACTCAATATGGAAGGTGAACGAATTTGGAGAATTGACACTATCCAACTGCAAGACCTGCTATCAAGTTACAGTAATCAAGCCAATGTGGTATTGGCAAAAGAGTAGACAAATAGGCCAAGGGAATAGAACAGAGAGCCCAGAAACACACTTACATAAATAGGGTCAACTCATTTGACAAAGGAGCAAAGGCAACACAATGGAGCAACGATAATCTTTTCAACAAATGGTGCTGGAACAATTGGGCATCCACATGCCAAAAAGTGAATCTAGATGCAGACCTTAAACTCTTCACAAAAATTAACTGAAATTGATAATAGACCTAAATGTAAAGTGCAAAACTATAGAACTCCTAGAAGATAACATAGCTAGAATATCTTGGGTATTGCAGTGACTTTTTAGGTACAACACCAGGCACAATTCATGAAAGGAATAATTGGTAAACAGAACTTCATTAAAATTAAAAATTTATGCTTTGTGAAAGGCAATATCAAAAGAATTAGAAGACTAGTTACAGAGTGGGAGAAAATATTTGCAAAAGATACATATGAAAAAGACTTGTGCAAAATATACAAAGAACTTTTAAAACTCAACAATAAGAAAACAAACAACCTGAGTAAAAAATGGAACTTAACAGATGCCTCACCAAGAAGCTATACACGTGGCAAATTAGCATATGAAAAGATGCTCAACATTATATTTCATCAGGCAAATGCAAATTAAATAAAGAAATATCACTCACATCTATTAGAATGGCCACTAAAAACTGGAACACTGACAACACCAAATGCTACTGAGGATATGGAACAACAGGAACTCTCATGCATTGCTGGTGGGAATGCAAAATATTATAGCTACTTTGGGAGACAGTTGGGTAGTTCCTTATAAAACTAAACATGCTCTTACCATATGATCCAGCAATCACACTCCTTGGTATTTACCCAAAGAAGTTGAAAACTTATGTCCACCCGAAAAGCTGCACATGGATGTTTACAGCAGCTTTATTTACAATTGCCAAAACTTAGAAGCAACCAAGATGTCATTCAGTAGGTGAATGGATAAACAAACTGTGATACATCCAGACAATGGAATATTATTCAGAGCTCAAAAGAATCGAGCTATCAAGCCATAAAAAGACATGGAAGAACCTTGTATGCATATTACTAAGTGTAAGAAGCCAGTCTGAAAAGGCTACGTACTATACGATTCCAACTATATGACATTCTAGAAAAGGCAAAACTATGGAGATAACAAACAGATCATTGGTTACCAGGGATTAACGGAGTGGGAGGGAAGAATTGGCAGAACACAGAGGATTTCTAGGGTAGCAAAAATACTCGTATGATACTATAATGGTAGATACATATCATTATACATTTGCCTAAACCCATAGAATGTATACCATCAAGAATGAACCCTAATGTAAGCCATGAACTCTGGGCAATAATGATGTTCAATGTAGATCCATCAATTGTAACAAATGTACCACTGTGGTGGGGATGTTGATAATGGGGGAGGCTATGCATGTGTGGGGCCAAAGGGGTATATGGCAAATCTCTGTAACTTTTGCTCAATTTTGCTGTGAACCTAAAACTGCTCTAAAAATAAAGTCTATCTTTTAAAAATGATCATACAGTAAAAAGAAGGAAACTAAGTACTTCCGTAAGTTTAGGTGTTCACTTATAATACTTTTACTGAGGAGATGTCTTGTGACTTGAATATTTTTATTAGACACTCATGTAGCCTAAAGAAATCCTCTACTGGACATTTTGTTTTTAATTCTTAGGTCAGATGTTGCCATTTTGTATAACGATCGCTCTGTCCTTGAGAATCACCATGTGAGTGCAGCTTATCGACTTATGCAAGAAGAAGAAATGAATGTCTTGATAAATTTATCCAAAGATGACTGGAGGTGAGTTCAGAGGAAACCTAGAGGAAATTTTAATCTCAGGGAAAACTTAAATTATATGATTTAAAGTGAAGAAAACAGATGAAAGTCAATCCCTTGCTCACACTACAGACTCAGTTCCCCTTGACTGGATGACTCTGAGAAGGATTAGTACCTAGACTTTGTTCAGGGGCCAGGCTCTGTTAGATAGAGTGGAACTATCTCCAGGCCAATTCAACATGTTTATGCACCATAGCCAATCCATAAGAACACACACCACACAACAATTACCTTGAGAAACATACTTACATACTCTCTGGAATGGAGCTTTGCTCAAATGTACCAATATATGCTCCCACAGAAGTTCAAAATTTTAGTGTCATACTGATTCCATCATAAATAACTTTTCTATATGTGGAGTTAAGCTTTTCTAATAAACAAAGAATTCACTATTTGGGGAAAAAACATTACAAATATAATATACTAAAATGACCCAGGTACAGAGGGAAATCTTACATGTTTCTCCAATGCATCTGTCTGCTTAAAAAAAATTACATGGAATGGTGATGCATGTTGCCATATAGGGAAAAATAACAAGATGCACCCCCGCCACTCAGCATGACCTTTCCTCCAATTCTTGATGCTTCGATGGTCATCGTCATCCCCTTCATTTGATTATAGGGTTACCAGATTTAGCAAATAAAAATACAAGATGTCCAGTTAAACATGAATTTCAGATAAATATAGAAATATTTTAGTGTAAGTATGTTCTTGTTAAAAGTCCGTTAATGGGCTGAAAATATTTCCATTCAAAGGCAAAGATCAAAGTTTGTTTTTTTTTTAAATCAAGGTAAAAAGAAATGTTCAAAGAAAAGAAGCAACTTGGGATCAAGAATGGCCTTAAAACAAATAAAAATAAAAAGTTAATTTAGAGTTTAAAACAAGCCCTCATTTCTTGTGGTTTTTCAAGCTTCCTAGTTTTTCAAGGCCACTGTGCAACTGTGAAACAATATGGGCTCACTTTTCACCACTGTAGGAAAAGCTCTCGGGTGGGAGAAAGGAGGCGCTTGTTTTGGGAACCTGGTTCAGGCCTTTCATTTTATTCTGCAGGAGATAATAGCCCAAGAGAGTTTCCACCCTAGGAAGGCCAGAATCTAAATGTAAAGGGATTTAAAATTGATCGCCGTGGGTCTATGTGGAGAAGAGCAGGGCAAAGGTAGAGGCAGGGGCACAAGTCTGGAGGGACCTCCTCAGGTCCCAGAGACTGAGTGATTGATTACATCTAGAGTATTAATTTATTTCTTCATCAGTGATTCTCATCCCCAGAGGTAACATTTATAACAATAATTTTTATTTTTATTCCTTTTAATTAACCTTTTCTCAAAGTTGATTCCACTGCTATTTCAGTGTGATTTTTTTCCCATTACACTTTGTTCTTTAAAATCGTTAATATTTCATTCTAATAATTTGTTCCTGTAATGTTTTGTAAGTTTCTATACCGTAACTTCTGAGAGTTATCCTAATTGAATGTTTTTATAGAGTTGTTTTAGCAAACGCTATAATATTATGTAGACTGTAGGATTTAATAGATCGAATACTGTTTTCAAAAAGCTGCAAAAGATCTATTTGCTAGTATAAACTTGATGATGTTTTACCAAGAATTAAAATACAGATAGTTTTTTCAAAGAATTCTAGGTTTTCTGTTTGCATATCTGTTTATTTCTTAAAGTACCTTATTAGCCATAAATGCAATAATTAAAATGTTTTGGCAAGAGAAATTCATGAATAAAGTAACATTCCCTTTGTGCACTATTTTGCCTAGTTTATTGATATATTATTAGTTGATTATAGATAATATCTAGCATTTACTGATCACTTATCTGCAAAGCACAATGTGTTTATTAAATTTTATAGATTTCATAGAACTTTTGAGACCAAATATTTTGGATCAGTTGCTATTGTAATATGTGTCTCTCTATGTCAGAGAAAAATTGTAATTGAGAACAATTTTATTAATTCTCTTTAATAGCTTCCATTTCCTTAATATTTGGCTAAAAGTATTCTAAGCAAGCTATCCAATATCATGAACAATAATCAGCATATTGATTTCTCACAGCCCCCATCTAAAAATCCAATTTTCAGCACTCATAAATTTCAGCAAGAACCTCCGATATGTGGTTGTTTTAAAAACAAATCATTTGATCAGGCCATCTTTAGGTAAAATATCTTTGACACAAGGTCATAATTCAAGTTCACCACACACTTTTAATTTAGCTTACTCTACTGGCCACGCCACAGAATGAAAATAGAATGATTTCTAGTGTTAAGTGACTTTTTTACCTACCTGTACTGAGCAAGCAATGAATTGTAGAGTGTGCAAGCCTTTGCCAGGGTGACTTATCTCCTGCCTAGTGTGAGAATGAGTTATTCATGCACAGGCTCTATGATGTGGTCACCAGATTTACAGCATCTTGGTTAACAGTTCAATAGTATGAATGGCTCTGTCTATGACATGTAGGATCAGGGTCCCAAAAGCTTAAACAGAGAATCCCCACTCACTCTAATGTCTTGGGTTTGCTGGGGCTCCTGAGATGGAAGCTTGGCACAGTGGAGTGGTCTGCGTGTCAGCTTTGGGAGTGAGAAGGCTTGGGGTTGGATCTTGTCTCTGCTGTGAACTAGCCATGTGACTGGACAAACAACTCAAGCTCCTCTAGCGGCAAATGATCATGCTGTCTCATATAAAAGCACCTAGAACACTGCCTGGCTGAAAACACACTGAAGCAACAAGTGCTTTTATTAGCAGCAAATTCTGCATTTGGAATAGTTTTTCTTTAAAATTGGCTAGGATCCTTTCAGATAAAAAACCCCAATATTTAGGAATTATGATTGAGGGTGGGTTGTGGGTGTGGCGGGGAAAGCATCCTGTTCTGTAAGGGGAGATGGTAAATGGCATCATTCACAGATCACTCTCCTGGCAACTTCCTAAAGCCCAAAGAGTTAAAGGGTGAAATAATGTCAAACTTCTGGGAGCTCTTTTACATTTAAAAAGTAATGCCTTTTGTACTCATATCCATTTAGAAAAAGAAAAGGTGATGAGAGATATTTAGAGAAATGTACCGCTTGAGAACAATAAAGGGCCGAATGAACCTTTCTCCTTTTAATGACTCCACAGGGATCTTCGGAACCTAGTGATTGAAATGGTTTTGTCAACAGACATGTCGGGGCACTTCCAGCAAATTAAAAATATAAGAAACAGTTTGCAGCAGCCTGAAGGGTAGGTTATTTTCGTTTGTCGTGTTAAAGTTCCGTGGACTTAGACTCCGAAAAGGCTGTAATTGGTTACTTTGTTCTGATAATTTGAGCATGTCCTTGGTTTGGCAGGATTGACAGAGCCAAAACCATGTCCCTGATTCTCCATGCAGCAGACATCAGCCACCCAGCCAAGTCCTGGCAGCTGCACTACCGGTGGACCATGGCCCTGATGGAGGAGTTTTTCCTACAGGTGCTTCTTTTGACCCTTTGTGCAAATGTTTTTGGAAACAGTGACTGTGCATATTGACATACACCTTTTCTGTACAGAATCCAGGGCTTGTGACTTACCGTTATCAACTGGTCACAACAAATTCTTGGGACTTTAGGCAGAACTTATTAATCTTTCAGGTAAATGTATTAAATGATCCTACGTAGTATAAGACATGTTTTAGAGAGAGTCAAGTCTCAGATCTCAGATGCCGCTCTCCAGAAAGAGAGAAACAAATTAGAATTATCTGCTGCTAAGAGGCAAAATGCTAGAGCAGAGACAGCAGATAGCTTTCATTATAAAAAGGGGAAGGGGAGGATAAACAACACTTCTGCATACATCTTGTCGGTTAGAATTTAGTCATCTATCAATAGTTGCAAAGGAGGCTGAGAAATATAGTTTTTAGCTGGGTGGACACTTACCTAACTAACAATCTGTTATTATGTGAAAAAGTGAGTCTGGATATGGGGAATGGCCATGGTCTCTACCACAAGTATACATTTTTTTCTCTATAGTGTCCCTGCTCTGTTTCTGTTTCCACCTGAGTTACTACAATGCAGTTGTAATGCTAACCACCCAGAGTTAGCATCAGATCCCACAGTTCAAGGGCTCAATCTTCCACAAGACTGGCTTCACTTCAGATACCAGCCCCAAGTAGGGCTCCAGGATACCAGCACTTCTGATCATTGGTTACAAATTCAGGGGTTCCCCTGACCCTCCTCATGTTTGATAATTTGCTAGAATGACTCAAAGAACTCAAAAGAGCACTGTACTTACAATTATAGTTTTATTTTAAAGAATGCAACTCAGGAACAGCCAAATGAAGAAGTGCATAGGACAAGATCTGGAAGGGTCTCATACATGGAGCTTCCATGCTCTCTCCCCATAGATTCAGGATGTGTCACCTTCCTGGCACATCAATGTGTTTGCCAACCAGGAAGTGCCACTGAGCTCTGGTGTCCAGAGATTTTATGAGAGTTTCATTACATAAGCATGACTGATTAAATCATTGGCCATGGGACTGAACTCAATCTCCATCACCCCTCCCCTCCCAGGAGATCAGGCTAGCCCAAAGTTACAACCCTCTAATCATATGGTTGGTCTTTCTGGTGACCAGCTACCATCTTGAAGCTATGTAGGGAGGTCTGCCATGAGTCACATAGTTAGTGTGACAAAGATTCTCCTTATCACTCAGATAAATTCCACGGGTTTTTGATGCTCTATGCCAGGAACCAAGGACGAAGATCAGATGTATTCTTTATTATACCACAGTCTCTCTTAGAGAAGCTCTTCTTTTATTTCTGTATTTTCAGATTATTTGATTTCTCTGTATTCTTTATTTTTAAGGTTTCATTATTGATTTTATACCCGTTCTGAAGATATAAAGACCAACTATGTTACTATATTTGGATGACTCTTGTTTCTGTCTCCCATTGTCAATGGATATTGATGTATAGTTTCACTTCGAAATTTCATTTCATAGACCCAGAGGAAGTTACTGAGTAGCATCTTCCAAATTCAACTATTTTCATATTTAAAATAGTTTTAAAAAAATGTTTTAATACTTTTTGTGCTAAAAAAAAAAGACCAAATGTTAAAATCTATCCAATTTTAAAGGCCAACTGCATGCTATGGCCTATTAAAAATTATAATTTTATATAGTCAACCAATCACTAACCAAAAAATGGTAAATCTAAAGAGACCTTCAAGATCTTTAAGAACAACCCCTCATATTAGAGATAAATAACAGAAGCATGAAGACATAAAATGACTTTTCTCAGTTTAAGAAGAAATTTTAAAATATTTTAAATTGAGTGATCATGAAAACACAGCATAAGAAGATTTGTGGGCTACAGCTAAAGCAATGCTTAAATGAAATGTTATAGCTTTAAATGCTTATATTAGAAAAGAACAAAGGTATAAATCAGTTATCTATATTTCCACCTTATAAACTAGAAGTTAAGAAAATTAAATAAAAATAAGTTTACAGAAGGAGGTAATAAATATAAAAGCAGAAATTAGTGGAATAAAATAAAGATAAGCAATAATAAAAATTAATGAAGACAACAGTTGGTTTTCTGAAAAAATAATAAAATTACTGGCAGGATCAAAAAGAGAAAAATCTCCATGAATTATAAATGAAAGAGGAGATATCACTATAGATCTTTTAGAGCAAAAGGATAAGGAATATTATGCATAATTTAGGCCAATAAATTTGATAATTTAGATGAAATTACCAAATTCTTTGAAAGACATAAATTATCAGAACAGACCCAAGAAAAAAATTGTAATCTGAATATCCATATACCTGTTTTTAAACATTGAATTTGTAGTTTAAACTCTTCTCATAAAGAAACTCCAGGCTTAGATGGCTTCAATTCTTAATTCTCCCTTCAATTCTCAGTTCAACTGAGAGATGGTAAATTCTCCCAAACTTTTCAGGAAGAAATCAAGCCAGTCTTACACAAATTATTTCAAGACATAGAAGAAGAAGGAAAATTGTCAGTATAACCCCTGACAAAACCTGACAGACTTTGCAAGTAAAGAAAATTACACATCCATATCTGTCATGAACCTAGATGGAAAATTCCTTAAAATACTGGCAAGTCCAACCCAGCAACATAGCAAAAGAGTACATATCATGACCTGAGTTGGTTTAATATTCAAAAATAATTTAAGATAATTTACCATATTAAGAGAAAAAAAGGAGAAAGATCCTCATTAGCATCTCAATAGATGCAAAAAAACATTTGACAAAATTCAAAAGACATTAATTTAAAAAACTCAGCCAACTACGAATAGAAGACCTCTCTCAACCTGGTAAAGGTGTGTAGAGTTAACAACACTTCATGGTAAAATATGGAACACTTTCATGCTGAGATTAGGATATTACTCTGACTACTTCTATTCGACATTGCATTTGATGTTCTGGCCAGTACAATAAGGTAATGAAAAAATAAAGAACAGATTGGATAAAGATAAATAAAACTGTCTTCATTTGCAAAAACATGAGCATCTACATAGAAAATCTTAAAGGAAAGAATCTGTAAAAAGCTACTAGAACTGATAATGAGTTCATCAGGATTGTAGGATCAATTGTATTTCTGTATGCCAGCAGCAAACAATTTAAAATGACATTTTAAAAACAATATTATTTATAATAGCATAAAATAATATAATATTTGGGAATATATGAATTAAATGCATGTGAAACTTTGATACTGAAAACCACAGAATACTGTTGAGAAAAATTTTAAAGACCTATATAAATGGAGAGTTATAATATGTTAGTAGATTGAAAGATTCAATATTGCTAGGTGGTCAGTTCTTTCAAAACTGGTTAATATACTTAATCTTATCAAAAATTGTAACAGGGTTCTTTGTAGAAGTTTAAAGAAAAGTTGATCCTGAAATCTACATAGAAATGTAAGAATCTAAAATAGCCAAAGCAATTTTGAAAAAGACTAAGAAAGTTGGAGGACTTGTACTTCCTTATTATACAACTTGGGACAAAGCTACAGTAATCAAGTCAATATGTATTGACACAGGGCAAGGCAAATAGATCAATAAAATAGAATAGTGATCCTAGAAAAAGTCCCATACCTAGATGGCCATTTGATTTTCTACAAAAGCACCAAAACAGCTAATTGGGGAAAGGAAAGTCCACAAATGGCAATGGAACAACACTTATTAAATGTATGAAAAAGAACCTTGTTCACTACCTGTAACATATATAAAAATTAATTCAGGGTTGACCACAGGCTTAACACAAAACCTAAAACTATAAGTTTCTAGAGAAAAACCCAGGAGAATATCACTCTAATCTTGGGGGCAGGCAAATATTTCTTAAAGAAGACACATAAAGTATTACCTATAAAAGAAAAAACTGGTAAAGTGGACAAAAGCAAAATTCAAAACTTCGACTCTCCCAAAGATACCATTAAGAAAAGGCAAGCCATAGACTGACAGAAAATATTTATGCTACAAATATCCGTCCAAGGGCTTGTTCCCAGATTGCGTAAAGAGCTCCGGCAAGTCACTAATAAAAAGAAAATCAGCCCAATTTGATCAGATACCTCATAAAAGAAAATACACAAGTGGGTAATAAGTACATACAATTATGCTCATTATCATTACTTATCAAAGAATTGCAAATTAAAAACATAATGAGATACCACTATATCCACACCAGAAGGGCTAAAATTGAAAGGACTGATAATTTAAGTGTCAGTGAGGATGTGAAGCAACTGGAAGTATCAGGCATTGCTGGTGGGAGTATAAGTCATTACAACTCATCTGGAAAACTACTGGTTAGTATCAACTAAAGTTAAACTTAATCTCCCCTATGACCCAGCATGTTCTATGGGTATAAGTATATATTCCCGGTAAATTAGTGCTATGTCCATCAAATGTCTTATATAGGAGTAGTCATAACAGTATTTCTTATGATTGCTCAACATTAGAAATAGTCCAAATGTGCATCAAAAATGGAACTGAATAAATAAATCGTGGTATAATCATACAATGGAATTTTATGCAATAAAAATGGACTAACAATACAAACAACAATAAATCTCAGAGAATGCATACTGTATGAGTCCATTTATATGAAGTTCACAAACCGGCAAAATTAAACTATGGTGATTGAAATCTGAACAATGGGTGCCTGTACAGGGTGGAATTCACTAGAAGAGGTTAAAGGAACTTTCTCAGGGTGATGAAAGTGTTCTGTGGGTATCATGATTGAGTGTTAGTTACACAAGTGTGTAAATTATACAGCTAAGATTTGTACATAAATTTTACCTTGATTTAAAAAAGAATTTATCAGAATGAAGGTACTTCATCGATGACTTAAATAAAGAACTTTAAAAAAATCACTGTTAAAAAAATCTCTGATAAATTCCAGAGATTCTTGAAAATTACAGTTAGATCTCTAAATAATATCACGGCTTGTATTATCCCGCTCTTCTATTGGTTTCAAA